TGCGAACACCGCCACTGAGGCCTTCGGTGGAGCTCCCTCTGGGGCCACGAAGCGCTATACTGGGTGGGGGAACCGCATGCGAACACCGCCACTGGGGCCTTCGGTGGAGCTCCCCATCGGGCCACGAAACGCTGTACTGGGGAGGTGAGGCGCGTGCGAACACCGCCACTGGGTATCAGGTAAAGCTCCCCATGGGGCCAAGAAGTGCTGTACGGTACGGGGTGGGGGAGACGCGTACGACCACCGCCACTGGGGTCTTCGGTGAAGCTCCCCATGGGGCCACGAAGCGCTGTACGGGGTGGGGGGGACGCAAGCGACCACCGCTACTGAGGCCTTCGGTGGAGCTCCCTACGGGGCCACCAGGCGCTGTACTGTTTGGGGGAGACGCATGCGAACCTCGCCACTGGGGTCTCCAGTGGAGCTCACTAAAGGGCCACGAAGCGCTGTACGGGGTGGGGGAGACGCATGCGAACACTGCCACTGAGGCCTTCGGTGGAGCTCCGTATGGGGCCACAAAGCGCTGTACGGGGTGGGGGGGACGCAAGCGAACACCGTCACAGAGGCCTTCGGTGGAGCTCCCTCAGGGGCCACGAAGCGCTGCACTGGGTGGGGGAACCACATGCGAACACCGCCACTGGGGCCTTCGGTGGAGCTCCCCATCGGGCCACGAAACGTTTGAGGGGTGTGCCGAAACGGTTGGCAGTTGAGGAGGGCAGAAGCACGGATTGGAGGAGGAAGGAGGGGGAGGAAGGAGGAACAGTCGCGGGGCGCTGTCTTTTCAAGTCGAAGACCCGACACCAGAGGATGGTTGGGACTAAATGACTCTGGGTCCAGACCGTGGGAGTCCCACAGCAAGAACTTCCGCGGCTCAAGCTCCACGGGCCGATGCGGTTGGGCCCGGCATGGCAGCGCAGGGCTTCACTGTGGTCCATGGAGGTTTTCAACATGTCTGGCCTCCATCTGCAGTAGGAGCTCGACCACAAGAAACCTTGCACAAGAAACCCAACCCTGAGACCCCAGGGCGTCCATTGATATATAGTGTGAGAACTTCACACTTTCCACAGCACAGCCATCGAAACCGAAGAAGCTTAGGGCATTCTGGATGCAAGCAGGGTGTAGCTTCGCATGGGTTTCCACTGCAGGAAGCTCTGCCTGGGACCCCCGGGCCGCCATGGAGCGGCTCGGGATGACATCCAGCCCCGTGGGGAACGGGGCCCTCGACTTCGAGAGGAACAGTTGCTCGGGCGGTCTCGGCTCTCGTCGGACCTCCAGCAAGCCTCAAGGGACGACCGCTGGGGACCTCCAGGGGGTCAGGACCCGGGTTGCCCCTCCCCCACGCACAGGAGCCTTCCTGCTGCTCGCCCTGCTGCTGCTGCTCCTCCTCCTCCGCCTCATTATCCTCCTCCTGCTCCTCCTCCATGCCCTTTCCTGTAGCGCCTCCTCGCCTGACCACCAGACATGTCGTTGGAGCGGGCTGGTCGATTATGAGACCTCCTCCCCGTGTATGACGCCGACGTGCAATACTATCAACCGTTGCGCTGATGGAGGGCGAACGATTTTCGAATGTGGCTCTCGCCTTGGCGCTGAGCGTATTCTCTGACAACTTTTCAGCAGTTATGCGGGTGGAGGGCGGGTGGTTCTCAACATGTGGCTCTCGCAAAAGCGGCGCGCACAATCGTCTTTAACATGTCCATCGCTTACACGCATGGGGGGAGTTTCAAATGCAGCTCTCGACACAGCGCCGCGCACACTCGTCGTCAACATTTCCAACAATTGCACGGATGGAGTGCGGCTCATTTTCAAATTGTGGCTACCGCCTTACCACCGCGCACGTACTGACAGAGCCATTGTTTCTCTCTCTCTCTCTCTCCTCAGCGCCGCGCAAACTCACTTCCACCGTTCCCAGCAGCTGCGCTGATAGAAGGGCGGCTTCCTTAATCTCTGCGCTGTGTAGACTGCGCGACAACTGCACGGATGGAGGGAGGCTCCTCTTCAAACCCGGGCTCTCGCCTGAGCCTTCCTAAACTTTCAAGCCACTCGCTGAAACATGAAGAAGCACTGCACGGACCGATGTCGGCTCTTTCTCGAAGCGGGGCTCTCGCGGGACACCTCTCTGGACTTTGTCATCGTGCCTCGTCGCCGCCCCCAGAGCCAGGAATATGCATGGCGGCTCCTGTTCGAAGCGGGGGCCCTCGTCTGGAATCGCAGGACCAAAGGGCGCTCTTCCTTCAAGGGGGCACTCCCCGCAACGGAGCTGGGCACTTCGCTGGACTTTGTCGCCATACCTCGTCGCCGGCCCTAGAGCTGGAGGTATGCATGGCGGCTGATTTTCGAAACGGGGGCCCTCGTCTGGAATCGCAGGACCAATTTGCGCACTTCATTCAAGGGGGCACTCCCCGAAACGAAACAGATCTTGCGGGGGCTTATGCTTACGGGAGCTGTGCCGGGCGGGCGTGTTGCAGCATCGCTGATGCATCCTGGGTTTACTCGTTGATGCATCCTGGGTTTACTCTGATCCTGCTCCTCCTCCTCCTCTTCCTCCTCCGCCTCCTCCGCCTCCTCCTGCTCCTTCTCGTCCTTCTCCTCCTCCTCCTCCTCTTCCTCCTCCTCCTCCTCCTCCTCCTCCCTCTTCTCCTCCCTCTCCTCCTCCCTCTCACCCTTCTCCTCCTCCTCCTCCTCTTCCTCCTCCTCCTCCTCTTCCTCCTCATCCGCTTCCTCTTCCGCCTTCTCCTCCTCTCTTCCCACTCCTCCTCTTCCTCCTCCTCCTCCTCCACCTCCTCCTCCTCCTCATCCCCCTCCTCCTCCTCCTCCTCATCCTCCTCCCTCTCCTCCTCTAGTCCGCCTCCTCCTCCTCTTCCCCCTCCTTCTCCTCCTCCCTCTCTTCCTCTTCCCTCCCATCCTCCTGTTTCTCTTGCTCCGCGGCCGTAGGGGCCATGGATCCGCGTCGTCTCCGTACGTTGTGCTTGGCGAGTGCGGAACGTGCCAGCGCTGGTGGTTGGTCTGGACACATATTAGGAATCTGATGCCGTCAATTGACCGAGCGCTCCATTGCAGGTGACCGCATTTGTTTGAGAAGAAGGAGGGGCATGAGGGAGGGGACGACCGCACCATCTCTCGAGTGGCACGTGCACTCCGTGGCGATACGCGGCAGAGACTGACCGGTGGCTCCTTTTACGCGGCAGAAAACTGACCAGTGCAGTACCACTGCAGGTGACCGCTGGTGCGCGCGAGGGGGGCGGAGTGGGCTCCACCCATGCGGATATGCAGCCATCGCGCCACCATGTGGATCGTCGAAGAAGGAGCGAACGGGGGCTTTTTCTTCTGGCCTGGGCTATAAACCACCCCAGCCACGCAGAGCCTCCCGACATAGCGGAGGTCAGTCCACAAGAAACCTACCACAAGACACCCAACCCTGAGACCCGAGGACGTCCATAGATTTTTGGCCTGGGAACGTCATGCTCTCCATGGCACAACCATCGAAACCCAAGAAACCCAGGGCACCCTGGAGGCAAGCAAGGTGTTTCTTGGCATGGGTCCCCATTTTAGAGGGCGAGCGGTCCGAAACTCAGTGGCCAGAGGCCCCTCTGGAGCCCAAGGCGCTCCTTCTCTTTCAGCGTCTTGGCTGTAGCGTTAGGTCGGGCATATCCTCCTACAGGGGGATTTTGGACGACACATCAAGCATACTCAAAACATACTCGAACATATGAGAAAACGCTGACAAATCGTCCCCAGACTATTTTGGACTATTTTTGAATACTTAACCGTAGCGCTGGTAATTTGCATAGAAAGCTCCCGCCGTACCGCGGCGATGTCGGGAGGGCAGCCAGCATGGAGGGTTGAATGACGAACGGGCATCACGCACCCATACCCACAGGTGGGACGGAGGGGGCTATGGGTGCGTGTTGTCGGATGGGGGTCCCCGCTCGAACGGGAGCCTCTCACAGGGTCCGACAACCCGCACCCACACCCATAGCCAATCCTCCTCCCTCCGACACTCCTATGGGTATGTGTGTATTGTTCGCTCGTCGTTGAAGACGATCGGGGGGTCGGAGCTGGATGAGCCCAAAGAAAATAGGTCACGAAGGGGGGTGAGGGCAAATTCACGCAACATCCCTCTCCCAGGGCCGACACTGAACTGACAAGTTCTTCGAGCCGCGTCCGGCCGTTGCGACGAGGGGCCCCCTTTCCCTCCCCTCGTCCTGGTGGCCTGACCAATGCTCGGCCGCCTCAGCCCCCCAGCCCGCTCCAGTCGGGAGGGCTGCCAACAGTCACAAGGTCATCGAAATGTGTCTGGCGATCGAAGCCTGTGCGCGCGACGGGGGCGAACCGTGCGATGCGCGTGCTCCGCCTGCGAGACAAGCAGAGACAGAGACAGAGAGAAAGGGGGGTAACGATCTAAACATGCACACATGTTTACAGTAAACATGTGAATGTGTGTACATAATTACGTATGTATGTATGTAGGTAGGTAGGTCGGTCGGTAGGTCTGCATGTCTGTGTGTATGTATACATGCATGTCTCTGTCTGTCTGGCTGCCTGCCTGTCTGTCTGTAGGTCTGTATGTATACATGCATGTCTGGTTGTCTGTCCCTGTCTGTCTGTCTGTGTGCATGCATGCATGCGTGCTTGAATTTATTTATGCATGTATGTATCTATGCATGCATTCATAAAAGGTATGCAGGCCTGGAAATATGTGTATGTTGTATACATGTGTGTAGGTATATGTATGCATGTTTGTATAATATATACATTCATGTATGTACGCATGCAAGCATGTATGTATGCATAGTGTACGCGTGTGCATAGATCTACACATGTTTTATCGAGACGGATATATATATATATATATATAGTCAAAGAAAAGGAGCGGTGCATCATATAATTAGAAAGAAAAAGAACGATACAGAGAGAGAGGGAGATAACCAAAACTTGAGAGAGAGGGAGAAAGCGATAGAGAGAGAGAGACACAAAAAAGGGGAGACGGATACGTGGGCCGTGGCCTCATTCTAGGCTCGCTTGACGAAGCCTTTCTGGAAATCGTTCTTTATGTCGCCCTTCAGCCTTAGGTTGCCCGCCCCCGACCCTTACCCAGCGCCCTCCCCCCATCCTCCCCGCACCCCCACGCACAACCCCCCCCTCTCCTTTTCATGTATCACGCCCACTCCCACCGCCTTGCTATTCTCCCCTCCCTAGGCCCTTCCAGTTCTCCTTCCTTCCCCATCTGTCACCCTCTTTTCCTCCGATCCATTTTTTTGTTTCTCTTTTGCTGCTGTCTGTCTCGAACTCTCTCTGGTGTCGGCTCGACTGCCCTCTGCGGGCGCGCGCGCGCAGCAGCGGCCACTCGCCCCTCGCCCCGCGGGGGGGCTCTCCTCACCCCCGCCGCGGCGGCATTGCACCGCGGGGAGCAGGGCGAACTGAGGCGCAACTGCAGCTCGAGATCGGCCCCCGGGCCCCTCGCGCGGGGCCAAAGCGCAGCAGTCGTCAGAGCTGCGGACCGCCGTGGAGGAGGAGGACGAGGAGGAAGAGGAGGAGGAGGAGGAGGAGGAGGAGGAGGAGGAGGAGGAGGAGGAGGAGGAGGGGGAGGAGGAGGAGGAGGAGGAGGAGGAGGAGGAGGAGGAGGGGGAGGAGGAAAAGGAGGAGGAGGAGGAGGAGGGGCCCAGCGTAGAGAGGGGGCGCGGGTCCCGCCTTGGCCTACCTGATGAAGAAGTGGCCACCGCCCCGCACGTCGGCGGCGGGGGCGGAAGGTCGGCGCGGCAAGGACAGGAGGAGGAAACAGCGGCGGCTGGGGGCCCGCCTGATGAGGAGCTCCGCGAGGAGCCGGTAGGCGCGGCCGCAGCCGCTATTTCAATATGCTGAGGCGAGGACAGGGGAGGATAATGAGCTAGCACTGTGGGTGGTGGCGCGAGCGACGAGGAGGGAAGCGGGCGGGGAGCAAGCAGAGGCAAAGGCAGGGAGGCACATCAGGAGCGAAGGGCGCGGGGGCGGAGGAGACAGGCTGCAGGGGCGCGGGGAAAAGTTCACGCGGAGGAAGGGAGCGGGCGGGGAGCACGCCTCGGCACAAGCAGGTCTCAGGAGCGCAGGGCGAGGGGGCGGAGGGAACGGGCCGCAGGCGAGAGGGGAGAATCTAGGGACCAAATTGAAGCACAAGGGGAAGTCGAAAGGATGCGGCACGGGAGCGAAGGACGGGCGAGGGGATGACGGGCGCTGCTGAGCGGCGAGGGAGATGGGGTGGGAGGGCTCGCGGAACCAAGGGGCGGCAAGGGCCACGAGCGACGCGGAGGGCGGCAGGCCGAGGGCGAGATTGGATCCGTGGGCGCCATCGACCTTCTCGTGGCAATCGGAGCCACAGGCGCCATCGACCATCTCGTGTGAACCGGAGCCGTGGGCGCCATCGGACTTCTCGTGGCAATCGAAGGCGACGGACTGACGCCAATGAATCCAGCAAGGGGCGACGCTGAGCCCGAACGCGACAACGGGACTTGCGTTCTGGCGCAGGCGCGCCGAGGAGAGCCCATATTTCCACCGGCGCGCGGCGGCGTGGAGCCCGAAGGCGACAACGGGACTTGCGCTCTAACGCCGAGGGCCGCCGCGCCATCGTCGAGGCATCCAGCGCGCGGCGACGCTGGGCCCGAACGCGACAACGGGACTTCCGCTCTAACGCCGGCGGCGACGGAACCCCCGTAAGATCCATCGGCGAGTGCGACGGTGAGCCCGAACGCGACAACGGGGTTTGCGATCTCACGCCCTGGCGGCAGCCCAGCGAGGGGGGCAAACCCGCATCCAGCAAGTGGCGACGGTGATCCCGCACCAGAGAAAGGGACTTGCGATCTACCGCCACAGGACAGAGCCACCTCCGACGAGGAGCGGGCGAGGGTGCCGTCGAGGATGAACGCGCCGCTCTGCAACAGAAAGTCTTTAGCCTCCACGAGGTCCGAGTCGTCAATGTCCACAGACGGTGGCTGCGTAGCAACCAATGTGCGTGAAGTCGAGGATGTCGAAGGGGAAGGGGAAGAGGGTGGCGCTCTCAGAGTCCTCGCCGACCGTCTCAGAGAACGCGGCGACGGCAGCGGCATGGCGGAGGGCGCAGGCGTCGAGGTCGGGGAAGAACGTCTCAGGGGCAGCGGCGGAAGCGGCGGCGGCGAGGCAATCTCGGTCGGGGCGGTGCTTGTGTCAGAGTCGGACGAGGCGGCTGGCGCGAGCCTCGGGGGCGTCGGTGGCGGTGGAGACGAGGGCGAAGATGAAGCGCCCGCGTGGTAGTCGCGCCGACGAAGCGCAGCCCGCTCAGGGAGAGAAGCGCGGAGCGGGGCCGCCGGCTGCATGCCGCGATCGCCCCCCGCTGCGCAACTCCGGATGCTGGGTGGTGCAAGCGGCCAAGTGTCGGAGAAGCGGGCTTCGTCGTGCATGTGGTAAGCCGCCGTCGTCGCCAAGAACGTCTCGAGCGAAGGCTGGGAGAGGCCCCGCGTCGTCGGCCAGCGGTGGGGGCCTAGACAGCGCGCGCCGCAGGGCGCGATGCAGCGCGGGGCGCCTCGCGTAGTGCTGGAGAGAGTCGGACTTTCCCAAGCAGCCGAAGGCGCGCGCTCTCTGACCGCGCGGGGGAATGAGGCGGGCGGACGTCGTCCGCCTATCAGACCAGGTGCGCAGGGCGGCCCAAGCCCGCGAACAGGGACAGCGGCGAAGAACGCACTGGCGCGCGACTCAATCGATGGTGGGGGGGGATGTGCTGGGAACGGCCAGCGAACTTGCGGAGGCGGAGCGCGGGCGGGGCGGCGAGCGGGCGCGCGGACAAGGGCAGAGCGCGAGCAGAGAGTTGCGCGGCGCGCCGGGGCCGCGGACGCGCACGAACAGCTTGGAGGGGGCATCGCGAGCGGCCGCGACAGCAGGAGGACCCGGCGCCGCCGAGGAGCCGCGCGGCGGGGGCCCAGCGGCAGCAAGCTTGAGGTTCTCCACAAAGGCGGGGGACTGCCAGGTGGGCGGGTACGGCTTGCCCGAGGCCTGCGCCCCGCGCGTGGTCCAAGTCGGATTGTCGGCAGCGTGCATGCGGGGCTGCAAGAGTCACTCCTGCCGCCTCGGGAAGGTCAGCAGCGCGGCCCTGGTGGTGGAGGCGGCGGCGACGTGGCCCCAGCGCGCGCAGCGCGGGCCGCCCCACTGCTCGAGCTGGACCCAGTGGTCGAGCGCGAACGTGCAGAGCGGGATGCGGAGCACCTGCGCGAGGGTGAGGGGCGGAAGCGGGCGGCCAGCAGAACTGGGCGACGTGGGGCATCGTGGAGACCGCGCGGGTATTGTACAATGTCGAAGAGAGACTTGCGGGAGCGGTTCCCCGCCCGATGCTTGGGCCCGATGACGAAACTCGGCGGCAGGATCCGTCCAAGACGTGCCTGGGAAGACTCCAGGGCCCAACCAGAGACCTAAGTGCGAGGGCGAGGGGGGGGGGGGGGGGGACATCGATCGAGCTCCATTCGGGGGCCGCCTGCGAGACCAACTCCGAGATCTGGTCAGCGAGTTGCCGCGAGAAGCTGTCACTCAGGGGGGCAAGCTTGCGCTTGGAGGCCTTCAAAACCACGTTGGCTATCCTGTCGGCCAGGAACGCGGCCCGATATATGTGGATCAGGTGGCGGATCTGATCGCCCTCGGGGCGCCTCCGACGTCGTCGGCGCAATCCCGCGCGCGGCCGAGGCCCGACGATTCAACTCTCGAAACCAAGTCGATCAGGAAGACAGACGTTCCCAGGGCGAAGAGGGTCCCCGACAAGGCGCAACCCTGGATGCTGCCGCCCCGAATGCAAAAGATGCGCGTAGAGGAAAGAGACGAAGCGCGCGAACGCATCAGGCAAGTGCATTGACCGAAGGGAGAGGATGAGGAAGTCCTGGTTGGGCGACGGGAAGGCCCGGCCAAAGCCCAGGGAGTGCAGGACAGGGATGTCAGACGAGCCGTGGCGGAAAACCGTGAGGGCCCTGCTGGAAGCGTCTGGCTCCAAGATGTTGTTGCGCAAATTTCGACCTGGGGCGAAGCCGCGCTGGCAGGGCGGAGCGAGGGCCTGGAGGGCGGGTCGGATGGCCATGTTGACCACTGATGAGATAAGCTTAAGATCACAATTCTTTAGGCCAAGGACACAGACTTGGTTTGAGGATCTCACGCAGCTGCTATCCCTGAGTTCCAGGTCGGTGACATTCCTAGGCAGGAATATCTGACTGGTGTCACTAGCGTTCGAGAAGAGCCCCTAGCCCCCCAGCGCCCGCTCCAGAGCGCCCCATGAGATGTCGAAACCCCATGCCGAGGCAGCCTGGCCAGAATACGAAGGAGCGCCCAGGGGCCGAAGGGCGAGCAGCGCGCACGGCACGACGTAGCATAGAGCGGGGCGGAGGGGGGAAGTGAAGATCAGCAGGTACGTCAGGTAGGAAGCGTCGAAGATAGGGAGCAGCAGCAGTACCATCCAACGGCTTCTTCTGAAAGACGGGGGCCCGTAAGCAGGTGAGCTCGCGCGGGCGCTCCGGCGGCTCGCCGAGGACCCGACCGTCGGGCGCGCTCGCTCCAGAGAGCGACACCTTGCGATTCAGAGCGAAACCGGGCGCACTCATTCAGAGCGCGGAATCTTGCGGAATCGCAGCCGAGCGCGTCTTTCAAGAGCGCGCAACTGAGCGCGAACCTGGGCGCGGTCACCTTCGCGTCGCCTGCGCTCCTCAAGTTCAGCCCTCGCAGTCTTCGCAGCCTCAGCCTTGACCTGGTCGACCCGCGCCTGAAACGATGGGGGGGGGGTGGCGGAGTTCGACTTTCCCACCGGCGGTCGAGATCACGTCGGAAGCGACGGGGTGCGAGTCCAAGAGCCTGGATGCGAGCCCGAGGTCCTGGCGCCGGACAACCCTAGCCAGCGACCTGGCTTGCTACGCGAGCGCGCGAGGGCGAGGCTTGCTCCGGGATAGTCTGTCGCGAGTCTCGGCCGCGGCGATCTTCAGAAGGTCCCTGTACTTCTCGAGCTTCACAGGCGGGGGAAGGAGCGGCCGCGAAACGACCTCGCAGAGGCCCTCCAACCGCTTCTTGAACGCAAGCTCAGAGAAGATATGCGA